GAAATGCGTGGTCAAGCCATATTCGCACCGCTGCCAAGTAATGCACAGATGCGCCATCATGTTGCAGCCACGCTGTGGCTTCTTCATCCGCACTGTTACCGACAGCTCGAAGAAGTATTCTCAAATTGAGAATTAAAAAGCGTCGGTACGCAGAGCCGGTCAATGTGTTGGGGAGAATGTGAGGTCCAAACTAATAAAAAAAAAATATTATAGTCGCACCGGTAACTCGAAAACGAAGGTCATTTCTGATGAGATAAAACTAGTTTTTCAAATTTTTATGTCATAGAGTTTAAAATGTCTGAAATGTTCATAGAATCTCATTTTGAAAAAAATCTCTGCGCGCGCGCGCTTTTGTATGTGTGTGTGTGTGTGTGTGTGCAGATTTTGCAAATTTTTAGCCAGGAGGCTATTGTACTGATAGTGTTTAAGAATAAACTGTAAGTGTAAATAGTATGTACTCACAAGTTTATCGCCTTAATCCCGGCCCGGAGGTTTATCGAAAACCTCGACTGATGAGTTCGGTTTTGTACCAAGGCAAATGGATTTTCGCCACGCTTTTCGTACTGATGGAAGTTGTGCGTATTCCATGTAGTATCACGTCCAAAGTGTGATTCGTCCGTGAAAATGATTGAATCAATAAAACTTGGATTCCTATCGTGCATTTGTAGGACCCATTGGCAGAACTCCAATCGAGCCAGAAAATCATGATGATTAAGCGACTGCTCGCGTGTTAGATGGTACGCATGCATTCGACAACTTTTATAATGCGCTGCACGCATGCCTGTTCCAATCCATATAAACGAGCAATCTTCCTAACACTCGTATCCTTGTTTTGTCTTAATTCTTGTTGTACACGCCGAATATTACGTTCTGTTCGTCCTGTTCGCGGGCCCCCGCTACCATTTCTTTTTCGTACACGAACGAGCGTGCCTGTAGTACGTACGCGATTTATAAGGCGGTATATCACATCCTTCGTAGTCGTTCTTTCTACGCGGGCGTTTCTCCGACCTCTTCTAGAATTTCTCCCGTCCACTTCTTCATTATACGTCCTCGCGGCTGCCCGACCGTTTTCACCACAAATGAAGTATAATTGAAGCATGCGGTAATATTCCGTTATACTGAATTTAGCCATCACTATGAAAATTATGCGATATGTCAACGCGATTAGATCAGTGTGAATAAGAAACAAATGTACTGCCTATTTCAACATAAGACATAGCTGGACGTTGCTAGGGACGGTCTCCTCGGTAGTAGTAATAGATTCATTATAGCGAGACCTGGGGGCGTGGTTAAGTAGGGGTGGGGGTGAGTCCCAAAAATTTAGCGAATTAAATTTTTTCATTTTAAGCTCGACGCCCCAAAAATTTAGCGAATTAAATTTTTTCGTTTCAAACTCGATGCCCCAAAAATTTAGCGAATTAAATTTTTTCGTTTCAAACTCAACGCCCCACAAGTTTTACGACTGAAATTTTTCTGAATTTTTCTGACTGAATTTTTTTTGAAAAATTAAATTATTTACATAGTTTACTTAAGAACTACAGAAGAATTGAGATGTGTGGATATGAACTTTACAAAATTATTTTACAGAAACTTAAATTACACTTACAAACTAACCTGATTATATAAAAGATAATCGTACAGCGCAGAATTAAAGGCCGAAAGTGTCGTTTTCTCCCGAATATTATTAGGTATATGGTTCCATAACCTAATACGTGTTACGAACACCGATTTCTGATAGGTGCTAGTACGGCATAACGGGACTGCTAAGTCAAGTGGATTTGAGCGAGTACAAAGGGTGGACCCAGACCTAGATGCTCTACTAGAAATCTCATCAGCAACATAAACAGGCATTCCAGAAACGATGGCTTGGCGGATAAATATCGCAAGAAAGTAAAATCTACGCTGGCTGACCTTCAACCATTTTAGATCGGTGTAATACGGCGTGATATGTTCGGACTTACGTAAGCCATAGATATAGCGAACACATCCATTTAAGGCAGGCTGTAGACGAGCATCTTCTTCAGCCGTAATATCTGAGAGGACCAGTAAGCAATAATCAAATAGCGGAAGGACGAGAGATCTGACTAGTTCTATTTTGAGTGATCTAGTTAGGCCCTGTCCATTTAACCTCAACTAGTACATAGTCTTATAGACTTTGTTACAGGTAACAGTAACCTGTTCCCGCCAGCTTAGTGTTGGTGTAATGGTAATACCCAAACTCTTGATGCTGTTTGCACTTGGTAGTATGAAGGCACCATCCACATTGATGCTCGCAATGCTCCCAGAGTGAAGGGCATTTAAGTGTCTAGATGAGCCTAGTATCATTGCCTTGGTTTTTTTAGGATTTAAACGTACCTTATTTGATTTGGCCCATTCACATATTCACAATGAGCATATATTTGCAGATTGTCCGCGTACTTTATAATAGAGCTATGTCGTAATTGTTCATCAATATCAGCAATATATAGAGAAAAGAGCATAGGGCCCAAAACACTACCCTGGGGAACTCCAGAGGTAACAACCGACCAAGTAGAGGTGCCGCCAGAGGTACGCACCGCTTGTTCTCTACCCGTAATGTAGGACCAGAACCAAGTTAAGACAGGCTGGGAAAATTTGAGAATGCTAAGTTTATCGAGTAGACGACCATGGTCAACAGTGTCAAAAGCCTTAGAAAGATCAAAGAAGACGCAAATAGTTACCTTACGATCATCAATGGCTTTGCGGACATCGTCCGTCAGCTTAATTAGTGCATTCTGCGTCGATCCACCAGCAGCAAAGCCAAACTGGGTAAGATCACTAAAAAACCTACACGTTCCAGATATTCTATCATGTCTTTTCTGACGATCCGCTCAAAAACCTTTGAGAATTCACAGAGAATAGAGATTGGCCTATAATCCTTAGGTTGCGAGGGGTTAGGTGTCTTAAGCACTGGAGTAATTAAAGACCTCTTCCAAAACGTCGGAAAGGTTGATGCAGATAGTGACGAGTTGAAAATGTTCAAAAGTACTGGAGAAAGAGATACTACACAGTGTCTCAAAAAGAAACCAGAGAAGTCATCACAGCCAGATACGTAAGAATTAGGAAATTTGAGATTTAATATGAGTTTATCGAGTGTTAAATGTGAAAAATAAAATTTTGAATCGTCAAATACTTCAGCACGCAATAAAACCTCAGGATAGTGAGGAGAGGTAGAGGTAATTCCCGAGCAAAAATAGTTGTTCAATTCATTAGGTGACGCATGTATCTCCATAGAGCGCTGTGAGTTAGGCACAATACCAAGACGACGTAATTCTGGCCAGATTTGTTTAGAGCCTCTTAGATGCGCAAGTCGCATGGAACAGTATTCCGTCTTGGCACCTCGTATTAAAGTTTTTACCCGTTTTCGGAGACATCTATATTCCTCGCGATCGGTACTTGTTCGAGTACGTCTAGCTATGGCACGCAATCGGTTTCGAGACCTAATTAACTTCCTAAGATGTTCAGTTAGCCAGGCGCAGCATTTGAGGTTTATCTGATTCAGCCGTTTTACGCATACGCGATACTTCACAAATGTGTGAGTTATCAATGGAGATACCCAACGCAGTAAAATTGAATTATCTAGTTTAGGCACACCCGAGATGGTCAGATCCTTGCTATGCTTCTCGTATTCGAGAGCACGAATGCGCGCAGTGAGTGAATGAGTATCAGTCGGGGGAGCAACGGCCGCAGCAGATTGCTGAGACGTATTTAATTTGATCTCAGATATTTTACCTGCTAGCTCATTATAGTTGTCTGTGACACGAGCTTCAACATTCATCAGTCGCCCTGATAATTGTTCCTGACTACAAGTCAAGCCAGTCACAGACGCCTCTACGGAATTGATCTTGTCCGTTAATGTATTTAGTTTCTGAATACATCCGCGGACGTCCGTTTTTAGCTCATTCAAGCTAGCTAATTCCTTTTTTATAATAGGCATATCACGTAGAGTTTTATCTATACCATCAATTTTTGTAAAAAGTGCAACAACGAGTAAATTTAACGAAGAGAGTTGTTCACCGATGTTCGGAGTATTTGTATTTGTATTGGTATTTGTATTTATTCATTAAGTTTACATAGATATACATAGTTATTTCTAAAAACATCCATTATACATCCGTAAACCATGCAGAGGTAAACTGAGTTACCTGTTCGCAGAACTGAAACAATAAAGTCTTATAACTAATTACAACTAAAATTATATAACTTATGACCACGTCCGGGATTTATTAGTCCTCGAACGGGTCCAATACGATATTCTGTAAATCGGGCGGGCGGACGAAATAAAGGGGGACACGAGTTCAATAAAATAAAACAATATAATTGATGCAAAAAGAAAAAGATTACAAAACAAAAGAAAAGTGAAAAATACAATATTTGAGAGAAAAGAAGAAAAATAAAATAGATAACGCAACGAAAGAAATACCGATAATAAAATGCAATCTACAGGGAGGCGGTGTGGCTCACGCGGGAGCACGCTACTGACGGCTGTCAGTTGGGAACTAGGACAGGGGGGATTGGGTGGTGAGGGGAAACTTGCTGTCGATCAGCCGGTCTTCACAACAAACGGTGGGCGCCAGCTACAATGCGGTGTAGCACCGATCCGGGACCTTCGAAGGTCCTCGGATGTTTACAGTCTGTCTTCCAAATAATAACGGGCGCGACTAGCTAGGTGGAGAGGCAGGAGGGGTCTCAGGGGGAGGCTTCCCGATCGCAACGGCTTCTTAGATATTATCTCGATATTCCGATCTGTCCAAAAAGGGTTAAGAAACGCTGAGAGAAGTAGAAGGGAATGCGGACTCTTACGAGTAAACGCACGCAACGCAAACGATCGCAAAACACACACCACTCGACCTCGCGCCGTTACACGTGGGGACGGTTCGTAAAAGACAATGGCTAGTTATATTACAAGATAGAAAGGGCTAGAGAAAAGAAAAGGGGGGGGGGGGTGGAACGGGGAATCACTCAAACTTAAATCTACTCACTCTAATTTTCTCGCTCTCTCCTGGTCTTTCTCGCACACTTTCTCACGCTCTCACTTTTTATGTTCCTCACTCTATAAATCCACTCACTCTATTCTTATCACTCTCTCCTTGTATCTTTCTCACACACTTTCTCACGCTCTCACGTGTTATTTTCCGCACTCTATCTCTCTGCTTTCTCGCGGTCTGGCTCGAAGTAAAGTCCTCGTGGCGCGGGTCCCCGTTGCTTCTCTTGGGCTGCTACAGGGGCCTCGCTAGTTGGCTGGCGGCTGGAGTTCGGAGAGACTACGCGCTTCGGCATTGGTCGGCGGGTGTGGCATGGCAGGGTATTGGCGGTGTGGCGGGTGCTCGAACACGGTTGGCCGGTTCGTGGTCCTCGCTGCTCGCCGGGCAATATGGCGGCGCCCTGGGCCTGTCAGTCGCCTCGGTGTATCCGAGCGGTCGGGGGAAGGGGACCCTGCCGCTGGCTGCACGGGCTTAGTGACTACCCGTGCAGCGGGACTGCACCGGGGACATATGGCAGCGGTGGTGGCTGGCGGTCGTGCAGGCTGTCGTGGCTGAGTCCATCGGTCGGTTTCTTTCTTCCTGCCCATGCCATTCCCGCGTCCCGTTGCCTAGGCGACGCAGCCTCCCTCAGGCGGTCCACGGCGATCGGGCTATGCTGGCTGTCGGTCCTCGCTGTTCCCTCGCTGCTTCCAGCCAGTCTGTCTATGGGGGTGGGGGTGAAGAAGGGGGTTGGGAGGGGGGATGGATGGGATCTTATCACTAACTTACCCTATGCTTACTCTAGTTATTTCCGCGTGGTCACGGAGGTGAGTGTATCGTCTCTTGTATCTTACTCAATTACATGCAGATAAACAGGGACACAACGACGATACTCTTAGTGTTATTGGCCTAGTGAAAGCAGGTCTTGCGGGCTGGCTCGCGACGTCATCTGCGCTCCGTTTAAACGCGTTCTGATTGGTCGCATTATTGCAATTTCAACCTTCATTATCTCGAAATTTTGATATATGAAATAAAAAATGAAAATACACGTATTCATAACGAACACCCTGTATATTTAAAGTACCTATTTTTCTTTTTTTTTTGTTTCCTTCACCTCCATCTCCCCATATCTTGTCAATAATGGTAACGGGCGGGAGGACATAAAACATTAAGCGTATTCCTCTATACAGGGTTCAGGCTAATCATCGAAAATGGATCACACCAGACAGCTTTATAATATATTGTAGGTAATTCGGCTGGAAACAAGGAATCAAACTCTGAGGAAGTCTTCATAAGTAGAACGGTCTTTTTTATTCTTTCTTTTTTACAAGCACACTGTGTTCGAGCCCTAGCGTCTCTGCGGCGACTACTACTTTGTCTCCTCGCTTCCCCCTCCTATATCGAGACTTTTGCCCTACGCGCGAGAGCTAGGCAACGTTGCTGTGTTCTCGGAAATAGTCGACCGTTGCGCTTTGTTTACATTAAGATGCCTACAATATATAGCGTTTCTTACAAAAACACTGTGTTCTACTTCACCATGGTATACTTACCTCCTTAGGATAATTAAAAAATTACCGGCCGGTGGTCACTGCATAATTACTGACCGTGGTACGCCCCCTGGGGGACATGCAACGCTGCTACTACTGGGGGTTTCGGGCCTTAGGACCAGGGCCGCATAGTGTAAGGTGACCACATCCTTCAGGTTGGAGGGGAAAGCTGGCCACACGGGGAGTCGTCATAATGCTGTGTGAGGGGTTCAGAGTACGGTGCGCTCTAGAACTCATAGAGGCAGTGGTGGGGGTTTGTTGTGACGGCCACAAGTGGCCTGTATCTACTTATATTGTATAAAGCTAAATTTCATTGTAATATGCTTAGTCATATCGTTAATTCACATTAATACAAACTTGATGTGCAATGATATTGCATATTCAGCTCAATAAAACATAGTATAATTTGATCAAGAAATGAAGTGATAGATAACATTTTTATTTTCCTCAGTGTGGGTTTGTAATATATTAGAAAGTAAATGAAGAGTACTTTTTGTATACTTGGTCCATAATTTTGCCACCTCATCCTGTGATAGATTTCGTCGCGTTGAAATTGCACCACTCTGAAAGTATACGTTATAATTACGAGGGACAAGGCATGAAATGTGTTGGTAAATTATTGATTATTTTATTAAAAGAATCATAGGGGTTAGTTATGGATTTTGTTCTTTAATGTACTTACATGCCATTGTTCATTAGATTGATGTTAAACTGTTATATAATACACCCGTGGACTGCTGTTGGATTGTGTCCGGCTGGTAAAAATCCTTGCTGGCGGCATTAGTGGCGCCGCCCATGAAGGCGGCAGAATCAAATGTCAGGTATTGAAATAATTTTCATGCCGTTTTCGACACTTTTCACGTGCGATGTAGCACAGTGCTATAGTGATCAATAACGCTATTGTAATTCCCATTCCGATGCTGATCCAGATGATCTCTTCATTTATTCCACTATGGCTGCGTCCTGTAAATATTTGTAAGAAATATTTCATGTTACTACGTGTACAAATTAATTCTAGGCCTTTTTTGCATAATTTTAATATTTGTTTAAAAAAAAAGACAATTACCTAATCTTTTAAAACAATCCTATACTTTCTAAATATTTCCGCCATCTCTTAGGCAACTGTCGAATCTCACTTGAGAAAAACATATTTTTTTGTCTGAAGATTGAAATTGCCATCCTTAAACCTTTGGAAATACTTTTTACACATACTATAAAACACAGCATTTTCATATAAGGTAAAACAAATCAGTTCCTTCCTAGTATTAGTTCCTACATAGTATTTCTCTTTAGTTGGAACACGAAAAGGAGACAATGCTTAAAATGTTGCTTTTTGAATGATATCACATTCATTACTGTTTTTGATGTTATATCAGGAACATTGTCAACTATTATACCTCATTTTAAAGCTTAAACTTTACGTGGGAAGATATTTTAAAGCACCCGAAGTATATAGTACGTGTGTGTCTCATAGATGGGGCAACGCAACCATATAACAAATTCAAATTCCGCAATAACGTTCGCTCCGCGCATATAAAAGCTGAGCGGAACGGCGATAATCATTCATTCGATTACTACACTTTCTACAGTGAAACTCGAGACAGACTAATTCAGGATTTCAAAAGGAAAAGGTAAAGGAGTACTATGAACGGGTTAGTTAGAGTCATAGTGCCTCCAAATGATACCCACCAGCTAAAACTAGGACGAGAGGGATAGAAAGAGTGACGGGCATTGGAATAACCACCCGACCACCTTGCCTCTCAAGTCTTCCATACCAAACTACCTACAGATACTTTATCAGCGGGTAGATAGCACCACCATCAGCTGTACACGGCCTCCTAATCCAAAAAACTACTGAATCATGGGAAGACACTGGCGGACAACATAGCATTACTAAGCCATACTGAATCCTTTCTTAAAAGTGGGATTGGTGACCAATATCGCATTGTGAACCATATCTTCTCCAAATATCAGATGACTGTAAAATATTGGCAGGTAGCATTACACTTGCTCAACTATATGCCCAACAGGAACCATACCTAATATTAATCAGAACGATCCTTGGCAAATCATAAGGCGTGGCAAGCCATATGATCGGTTCGATAAATCCATGATCCACACCTCCACGAGGGACAAGGATAAAATCAAAGATTGAATTAAAACGAATGGTCTGAAATTTGACTCAGGGTAGCGTAAATAGCCATTCGTAACCAAATACACAGTTTCACCACCGCTCACTAAAGGTGACACCAGTGCCCAACGTGGGGCACAGGAAAAGGTAACAATAGATAGAAATTATTGCAAGATTAATGTTATGTAATACCGTTGTTTTAATATCGTTTCTGTTCTATGTACCATTTTTATCCAATTTTATTTACTAGGATTAATTCTAGAATGGTCCTGAATATTGAGTTAAATATCTTTTGACAATGTAGGACCATTGTCATTACTTCTTCATTGATACAATTTTCTTTCAATTAATGACCTTATTACTGAGCCATCTCTTACTCAATAGTACTTCTCAAAGTTCATTTTATAATAGACATTAGTATTGGAAAAATAACTTTATTCAATTATAGGCTTATTCTTATCATTTCATTATTCTGCCAAATTTGATTTCGAGGACCACAATATGAAACAAGCAATTTATCGTAGCCCATTGTAGATACTGTAATAAATTTTTATATGAATTTATATAAAATCACTTAACCGTAAAAATCGACGACGCATATGTTAAATATCCATACAAGATGATTTTCTTGTACGAAGCGACAGAATAATCGAATATCATTTTCTTGAAAACCACTGAGCTCTTATCAAGTCAGATCACACAGACGGACACGGACTACAATCATGGACATAATGTATCTCATGATTTACATAGAATTATTATGAATAGTATGTTCTGAATTATTCTGTTAAATTGGAATGCTTGACTCGTAACAACCATGTTCGTAATTCATATTACCATTGTAGTGGGAATTATAGATTCCAACTTTTCCCGCGACGCGGCCACCGACAGGCATTTTTGTTTTTCTGCTTCTTCTTTCTGAAAATAAACACAAGAGTTATTTGTTGCATTCACTTATTTATATTCAACATGAACTTGATGGCAAAAATCCATGGAAAGACGGATGGAATGTATTGCTATAGTATGCAGATTTTCATAACGTTACAACTCAAGTAGAGAATGCCAAGACTTGATGATTGGACTAAAGCTGCTTCCATCTTCGGCTCTAAAATCTTAAGCTTTAATCTTGTTAAATCTTGATTTAATAATTGTTCAAGATTTAGGTGTCAAACCCTAACCAAATCTTAATACCCATTTTTCATTCAAGCCTCGACCCAGGCTGTGACGTGCACGGCGTTATCACACGTCTAACAAAGTTAATCTCCCTCGCTACGTAAGTTCTTGACTGCCGTCCTATACAGGCCCGGTCCTTTGGATTGCCGTTAGGTGGAGGAATTGGTGTATGGTCTATTTAAAGCAAAGATGCAGTAATCCCAATGAAATGATTCGAATATATCGTTGCAACCGAATTTTGCTTAAGTGCTAGTTATTAAAATAGAAAATAAAGAAAGTGCCAAATGGTCTTACAGCTAGGTTAGAATGATCTCGTAATGCCGTGTCCACACTCACTCTTGCGTACTCACTCTCATACGTTTATTCGGCGTGCAACGTTAGACGCCCACGCTGCCTTGGTGTTGGCAATTCTTCTTCTCATGACTCGGGATCCTTCACTTTGGTAATCACTTAAACTACACGACAATATTGTTTGTCTCAAAAATCAGAATACTACTATCTAAACTCACATTGACTAATACGCTACGCGTGCAACTCGTAGGGTTCGATACGTCTTAATCGACTTACAAACGGCGATAGATAACAGTACGCGGAATTCCCGTGAGAATGATAGCCGCCGCGCGATGCAATTTGTGAGGAGCTATTCCAGCCCGAACTATGCGCTCTGGTGTATATCTAGAGACTAATTTGCCTTCCCTGCTCCATCCTACTTTCTGCTGAAAGTAGGTGGACAGGTAGGGGCAAATCTTACTAATTTAGCGGTTTTACCCGCTCGCGTGAATCCTGGAATTTTCAGTTCACACGTTTCGGCACGTTCTTGGTGCGATAAGACCGGAAGCTAGCTTCCTCACATATTGCTGGAGTCGGCATCTCCGAGATCGCGTGGTTTCTCTATTGCATATATGTGTGTGCGAGATCCAAGTTCAAAAAGGCACGGCACGTGACAAGGCCATCATTTTTAGGTCTATTTAGATCATTATTAGTTGACCACTCGTCCAAGTAGAAATCTCACTAGAAAATACTACGTAATTATTGACTAGTGATTTTCATCGAGAATATCTTAGTTATTCCTATTTTAGTATATAATTGTCAGATCTTAGTCGAAGACCAGACAAAAAAACAAAGTGGACATGTTTTCGCCAATGTTCTCGCCAATTTCCAACTAGTTTTATAATGTTTCTCAACATTATAAATAATTAGATTTAATTTTTATCATATTAGTGAAATAAAAAATACATATATTTTACCCAGAAATTAAATATACAAATTGGATTCAAATTTTAACCAAGAAATCTTTTATATAATCATTGCTTCCGTGTAATAATTCATATTTAATTAAATATAATAACTATTCATATACATGTTTCCTCATTCATACTCTACATATAATTATTTCTAACATTAAACATATCATATGGTACGGCGTATATGTATTTTTACAATCGAGTCTCGTCGGGAGATGTGAGACTGACCGGCGCACAACTTATGCGATTCCTTCGCGTTCCAGGCAACCCGGGGTTAACATATCCTAAACTCTAACTAACAATCCTGTTGTTAGGTGCCAGATTCCAAACGGGAACCACGGACAAATCGGTCATTCGTGCCTCTCTTGGCTAACCTTAGCTACGCGGAGGCGTCGAGGATCTTTGAAATCAAGGACAGCGCCAACAAAAATAATACATCGGCTTTTTGGGTCAACAATAACAAAATCAGTCTTTATTTCGTGCGTCAACTTTTAATGCGCCTACGCGTGTACAAAACTTTCAAACTCACCAATTTCGGAAATAAATAGCAAACGCAATAAGATCGCGACTAAAACACCAAAAATCGTTCACAAAAGTTGTGAGGGTCTAAAGCGCCAAAAATGATGTCATTTTTATTTCTAACTAGTGTCATACTAAATTTCTGTGAACAATTTTTACGATCTATTCCGCGCAGTCAAAGTTATACAAATCAATAAATACGGTCGTATAATCCGATATAATTTTCACATTCCCGAATTCAATAAATATTTTCGCACGATTCGATACAATTTCGACATTTCAAAATTCCATACATACTTTCGAACAATTCGCTATACTTTTCAAATACATACAATTTCAATACATCAGTCGATTCTACAATATAACGCGATCTAATCGCGACACTTCGAAAACACGACCTCGTTTCTTCAACCTCCTGATTCTCCTCAGACTTCAACCCCCGAAAAAACCGAAACGGCTCAAAAAGACGACTTGCGTTGTCGACAGTCCAGGCAAGAAGAAGGAATTAGCCTTCCTTTTTAATCGTAATCGGCAGCACCTAAGACCATCATCCATTCCCTTATTCGTAACCACTTCTAATTGGTCCTTCGGCCCCAATCAAAAATCGCCAATATGACACTATGCGCCAATATCAAAGTGTGTCTTCGCGACAATACATACAATTTGGGAACAGCGCTAACAGGCTGTTCCGCGATGAACTCCTGCGTCCCATAGGAATTCGCAACGGTTCACCAGGGGTCCCCGGATTCTCAGTTCGCGAGTCTTCGTTCCTGTTGTCGATAGCGGCGGGCTTCCTTCACGGGTTGTGGTGCGTTGGAGGTGCTCCGTCGTTCGTAGATCTCTGCTAGTTACTCGGTACGCGTAGACCAGTTCATGTAACTCGGGTGATATCGTGCATAGAGTTGATCCTAGTCGTGAGGTGATTGGTGCGGTAAGCAACAGCGCGCGCACCTAGGGCCCCGCTGGCACCCTGACGTCACTCAGCCTTTCGTCCTGGTTCCTCTTACGTTGATGATTCCTCGCTGGGTCTTCTCGAGATTTGGTAAGCCAGCGAATATAATATTCCCGGCATGGGACATAGTAAAAATAAAACAACAAAATCAGAAATAGCAAATTCATAACAGCGCGGGCCCTTGAGGTGGTGGGATCTTGCCTGGATTCATTTCTAATTTCGCGTTTTCCCTCGTACCACTACAGTTCCCACCGACGACCTGACGGAGTAAAATCTACCATGTCACAATGCATATAAATATAAAAGAGTATATATGATGTGCTTGGCTTATTTTCTTCCTCGAAGACCTTGTTATTTATGTCACGCTTTAGAATCGTCATATGGATTTTGAACATCCTCCGAGGTTTTGCTTCTATCGTGTTGTATGGTTTTTCGATTTCATTTCGTCCAGAGTAATTTATATATTGTGACGTACTGGGTGGTTATTTCCACCGAGGGTCTCTTAAACACGGCTATCGCGAAAGGGACGGAACACGAAAAGAAAGGGAACGCGGTATATATGTGACAAAATGTAATTAATAGACAATGCGGATAAAAAGATGAACAGAAAAGAAAATAAGCTCCAAAGATAACGGAAAAGAAAAGAAAAGAAAACACATCAGCGAATATTTAAAACACGCAATACTAAACTAGGCACGCAGTTAAAACAATACACTCGGGTGCTCGCTTGGGAGCATGCGGTGTCGGAGATCTTTAAACTGGTCATTGGGAAGGGGTGTAGGGGGACAGGGGGAGCAGGGAGGGCTTTCCGGTACGAAATATAACACAAAAATAAGAACTTGGGCGCCAGCTACTGTATCGGTGTACCATCGCCGAGTGACTCAGAAGGTCCTCGAATATTTACTTAAATTTGAAATTGTACAGCTAGCGGGGGAAGAGATGAGGGGTCTCAGGGAAGAAGGTTCCTGAACGCAAAATGACTTCTTACAAATTACCTCGGTTACAAAACTCAAAACGCAAAGGGGG